TCTTTCCCTGACCCCTACTGCCTTCCTCTTACATTCCTAGTTTCTTTTACTGGAACTGCAATGCTTCTGACCGCTCTTAAAATGAAGTCTAAGATCCTTAACGGGATTTACCAGACGTTCTGTCATTTGACCCCCAGCTTAGTGCTCCCTCCAGCAGAGTGCACTGCGGCCACACCACCACCTTGTTTCCTCCCCCCTACTTGCCCCCAGGCCGCATATGCTGCTCTCTTGCTTAGAATACTTTCTCCTGCCCACACTCTGCGTCTCTGCTACTTTCCTTATCCTTTAGCCATGGACACCTGACATTTCTGTCTGCCCCTGCTACTGTCCTTAAGAACGTCCAGCCCAGGGCTCACAAATGGCACGGTGGTGAAGACACTGGGCTCCCACATGGATGACCATAGTTTGAGTCCCAGACCCCATAGCTTGCTTTCTCATCTTCTCTATCCCTCTCTGGTCAAATTAAGAAATAATAAATAAATTTAAACAAATAATACCTTTTAAAAAGAAGGTCTAGTCCAGATTCAATTTTAACCAATCAGCATCTCTGTCCCTGACCACACCAGAGGCAGGCTTTTTTTTTTTTTCCTGAAACTTTTTTTTAAAACTTAATTTACATTCATTCCCTAAGCATCGTCACAGCATACAAAATGTGATTTCCCCCATCCAGAATATACTGCATAGTAGCTTAATCATTCATGTTATTGTCAGAAATTTTCCATTTCTAGTTTCATGAATATATATGAATATATATATATATAATATGTATACACACACAAAATATATATAATATGTATATGGGGGACCAGCAGTTAGCGTAATATGTATATGTATACACACACACAGACACACAGAGCGAGGCAGTTACATGACCCAAGTCAAGTCAGAGAGCCGATTCTTCCTTTTCTTTTCTTTTTTTTTTTTTTGTGGAGAGGTTTTTGCTATAGGGCACGTGCACTTGCCAGACAGACAGAGACAGAGAGACAGAAAGCAAGAAATCACCCCCCAGGGGGAATGGCCATGCTGCAGTCCCTTCTCCTTCATTCTCCTCTCGGGATCTTGGGCACGCAGGCACATGCGCCCGGCTTGAGTTTTAAGCCACCGGGTCCGGGATACGAAGCGTGGTCGACTACATGGGAGTCCAGCGACATAGCCATTATGCTAATTGCTGGTCCCAGAGACAGCCAATTCTTGGAGAAGTACTGAAAGAAGTTGGCACACCTTTCTGGAGATGCAGTCATACCTGGAGCAGCTGGTCACCGGCTTCCTACCACGAAGAGACAGACTGCAGGGAATCAGCAGTTAGCATAATGGCTATGTCGCTGGACTCCCACGTAGTCGACCCCGCTTCACATCCCGGACCCGGTGGCTTACAATTCACGCTGGGCGCGTGTGCGTGCATGCCCAAGATCACGAGAGGAGAATGAAGGAGAAGGGATTGCGGCATGACCATCCCCCCTGGGGGGTGATTTCTCGCGTTCTGTCTCTATGTCTGTCTGGCGAGCGCACGCACCCTATAGCAAAAACCTTTCCCCAAAAAAAGAGACAGCCTGCCCAAGAAGGGGAACCTGCCAGAACACACACCAGAGGAACCCCAGTAAGAGTTGAGGTATGACGTGATCACTGTCTAAGCCCAAAGATCAGGCAGGCCCTGCCAGCTCTACCCCTGGACTTTTCAGCTAACTGATCACTAAACTTCTTAAGCTAAATTTTCTTGTTATTTTTCAAATTCTTGAGTCACAACTGATATACTTCAGGTCTGAATGAATGTCATTTCATCATAGACTTCACCAGTCTTCTCAGTCTAAAAGGGATCTTCCATCTCAGTTTTTTCTAAGCACTCTCATCTTTCATAATGCTTAGTAGAATTTGTAATACAATATTGGATTGTCAGAAAAGTCATGGCTTATTTTTTGTTTTTCTATGCAAAAACGTGTCATGACTTCCAACAACTCAGTGTTTGGGTGTACATTTATTTAATGTTCATCTCCCCAACTGGACCACAGACTCAAAGAGGAAAAGGAACTAGCTTGCTTTCTTCATTATCCTGGTACCTAACAAAATATTTATTGAATGAGTGTTAACATCAGTGACTGAAATCTTACTATGCCAGGCCTCTTTCTATTGAGTTGTCTAAAAGTCATGGCACATTTTTGCATAGAAAAATGTGTCATGACATTTCCAACAACCCAATACATGCTTTACATTAACCTATTTAATTCTTAGACCAGCTCTTGAAATACATTCTCTGTTGTTCAGATGAAAAAACTGAGGCTCTTAAGATTGACTTTCCTTTCCCACGGACTGTTTCCTATCCCAGATCTTATTGGTTGCCATGCCCTGATGGTCTCTAACATCTCTGGGATGTTCCCTTTCCCCCTGGCTTCTACCTCTATTCTAGCCGATTATTGCAGCAGCATCTGACATTCCTTTCATGTTGAATTCCTGCCAGAAGTCACTGTATAAGAACTGCTCCACTGATTGTGAGTTCTCTTTTGTTCACGCTATACCTTTTAGTAAATAATTTTTACTTAATTTTTTTTTTTTTTTGAGAGGTTTTGCTATAGGGTGCATGTGCTCTCCAGAAAGCGAGAAATCACCTCCCCGGGGAATGGCCATGCCACAATCCCTTCTCCGTTCTCCTCTTGGGATCTTAGGCACACATGCACATGTGCCTGGCGTGAGTTTAAGCCACCCTTTTAATTTGCTATCAGGCATATATGCTCATATGAGACAGCAAGAGAGAAAGTGAGAAAGTACCCCCCCCAGGGGGAGGGGGATGACCATGCCACAATCCTTTCTCCATTCTCAGAATTTGGGGCACATACCTGATATCGTATCTATCTGTATTTATTTATTTTTTTTTAGATTTTTGCTTTAGTGCACATGCACTTGCCAGAGAGACAGATAAAGACAGAAAGTGAGAATTCACCTCCATTCTCCTCTTAGGATTTTCGGCACACACGCACATGTGCCTGGTGTGAGGTTTAAGCCACCAGGTCTGGTACTCAAACTGCAGCCATCTATGTGGGATCCAGCCACCTTAACCACCTTGCCACTTGGTCAAGCCTTTAGAATTTACATGGATTTTCAAAATCCTTAAGAGGCTCACCACATCCCTAATTTATTGTAAATTGCTTTAATTTAATCAAATTTCTTAGGGAGTTGGTTGTGACTGGGCTGGCATGCTAGCCTGGGTAGGGTAGGAAATTCTGAATAGCCAAAGGCACAAAGTAAAAAGGCTAGAAACGCCTTTTGCCCTTTCTTCTAAGAGCTATTTTTAGAACTGTCCAAACTCTCCTCTAGCACTATTCACTGACTCCTGTTTTAGTTCATTCTCTGTTGCTTAATAACAATATCACAGGTTGGTGACTTTTTAGTTTGCTATAACACATGTGCACTTGCACCCTCCAGGGGTATTGGCCATGCTACAGTCCCTTCTCTTGGGATTTTGGGCACACATGCACGCACATGCCTAGCATGTTTTTCAAGGCCGCGTCCAGGATTCAGCCATGTGGGCTCCAGCAGCCTTACCCAACATACCACTGGCTGGCCTGTGGATAATTTGTAAGTTTACTAAGCTAATGCTTTTGACGGTCCAAGGCCAAGGGACATCTGGTAAGGGTCTCTCTCTACAGAGGCTGGTCATAGCATGGAACTTTAAATGGTAAGAATAAGATAATAGCCATGTCTGCAAGATTCAATCATGGGTCCCTAGCCTGATTTCCTTATCTAATCCTAATCACCTCCTAAAGGTTCCACTTTTTAATTTAGATTTTCTGCCATAAGGCATGTGCACACACAGGAGATAGAAAATGAGAAGTCACCCCTCCCAGGGGGGCTGTCCATACTGCAGTCCCACCTGCTGTCCCCAGAGTTCCACATCTTAATCCGACAACTGGATTACATTTCTCTCCTGTTAATACCATTATAACCAAATTTCAACACGACTGAATGGTGGGTAGGGAGCACATTCAAACCGTAACACCGCCCAATAGTTTGAGGAAGGAATGTCATTACAACAGCTTTCTACAATAGTCTCTATAACATTCCCAATCCAGGGACTTTTGCTTATTTAAATTACTTTTTAGTACAGTATTTGATATTAAAGTTGCTTTTGAGATTTAGTTACCACCACCACCCAAACACCAAAAAAGGGATTCCTTGTGGGAAAACAAGTCTATGACTTTGTCTTCATAGACTAACTGCCCACTCATTATTAAGCCTTTCCAACAATAATTCTCTCAAGTTTGTCCCATAGCAAAGATTCTAGGAAATTACAGAATTTAGCAAAAGCAACCTGTATCTAAACAAAATGGGTACATCTCATTTGGCTGCTCTTACTACATTCAAACAAAACCGTGACCTTATCTTTTTTTAAAGATGGGTGTTTGTGATTTGTGTAAAAACTTTACTCCAAGTGAGTAAACCTTGGCAATAAAAAAAGTGTCATTGTAGAGGACAATTTCACTACAAAAACTGTTAATGTGATTTGAAGATAAAAGAAAACTATGAAAGAGCCCAATTTCTGGAAATGGATGTTTCAACTAATGTCCCAATGTTGCTGCTAGGACATACTCCTTACTTCTGAGCTGTTATTTAGAGCCCTCACTCTGGACTGGCTTTTAACCAACCAAGGCCACAGTCTCATCTGTAAATGGAAATGAGAAAGTCACTGCATCTCAAGTTGTGAAGTTCCTGGCACACAGTGTGGCAACTGAAGTACTTTCATCAAAATTATAGGCTTTGTAGTGTTGCCTTCTCAGTTTCACAAAAAGCAAGTTTGGAATTTGTTTGAGATCGAACAGAAAGGTAAGTTGAGTTCAACTCTAATAAGTTGGGGCCAGGAGATGGCATGGTGATTAAGGTGCTGGACTCCTACATAGCTAACCATGATTCAAGTCCTGGACCTAGTGGCTTGCTTTCTCACTTTCCCTCCGTTGACATGCCCTATAGCAAATTAACAGTCCCAGTTTCTGTACATTGTGAGAAAGCTGAAAAGATAGACCATGTCATATATAACTCATATTTCAAAGAGATTTTGATTCTAAAACCAATGGGCAAGTGAGAGAGGGCAGATATTAAGCACTGAACAATATAGTCAGGGTGACCATTTATTTCTGTTTTATATTTGAGAAAACGGCCAGAGTCACAAGAACTTGAGTACAGCATCTTGATGTTTAGCATTATATTTAATAACATATTAACTAGGTATTGTATAAAACTTTATCTTGTGTAAGATTTAAATCTTCAAAGGGAAAATTACAAGTTGGAACTAAGCAAACAGTGTGTGGCAAATCAGTTTAAACTAGTGAGAGAACGACCTAGAAATGTATTAGAGTCCTTAAGAGTTCACACTGCCTTACAGGGCCAGCATGTGGCCTGGTGGTTAAGAGTCAGATCTCAGATGTCTTGAAACACATACCAGGCAAAACAACCAGGCACATGTGCATATATGCCCAAAATCCTGAAAGAAGGGTCTGTGGTGTTGACAATGACCCATGGAGGGTGCTTTATCTCACATCCTCTCCATTGAGTGCATGCACTCTGGCAAATTAAAAGAGAAAAGAAATATTGGCTTACATAGGACCTTTATTTAGTTCCCACCTTCTTGATCTGCATAGTAAATCATAGGAAGGTTATCATTGGCTATTCAAAAAATTACATTAAAATTAACTTTCTGGCCCACACATCTCAAATCTCGCTAGTCTGAATGAGTAAGTCTAAGGGCAAGGGGTACAATAGCACAGAAGAGGCACTAGAGTTAAGTGACAGGCTTGTTGCTGTCACTACTGAGTGCAACAGTGACACCAACTCCACAGAAGCAGATTTTAAATGGCTGCTTTTATTTGTACAAGGTAAGTGAAATTTTACTTTGAGGTTCACTTGTAGTACCTGATTTTTTTTCCCATTTCAAATATACGTTTTAAATTTTCTACTTTAACAAACTAAAGGTAATTAGGCTGATATACTGCCATACAATTTATAAACTTCAAGATGAGAATACAATAGTGTTATGAAACACTGGGTTCTAGTCATCCTTGGTTCTTCTCCCTGGTCTTAAGATTCTTCATCTCTCTCCACGTTCAGATCTTTAAGGTAAACGTTTTCTGCCCTTAAACTGAAATTCTCCCTTCTTCTGTACTGTTCCTGCCTTCAAAATGCCCTAAAAACCCTCAGTGTGACAGTAGAATTTCTCTAACCTGTTAGTCATTGTACCCTGATCAAGGCAGGCCAGCAGAGCTTCAACTGGCATCAGCTCATACTATTAATAGTCCAAAATGCCTCTGCTGCTACCTCATTCACACAGATCCCTTTTCTAACTATGTCTTTGTCTATACCACAAATTCAGGCTCAATTTAATCTCATGGCTTTCTTTTGTGCCGCTCCTTCTGTGCTTAATACCCTCCTCCATTTAAACCCCAAACATGAGAAAAACCCTGTTCCCGTGCTTCCATTAACTGTCACACTCAGGCTGATTGCACACATATATTTAACAATATAGTTTTACACAGGATGCTAAGAGCACTTTTCTTTGTATTTTATAGAAGGGCTTGAAACATACAGACTTTCTATTAATATTCATACCATAGCACATCCAAACCTAACTCCTAAATAGATGCATTACAATTTGTTTAAAATTTAAAGGCTTAATGGCAATGAGGGGGAAGAGTGGGTAAATTTATTTTACATAACTGACTGAAAAATAAATTCAAGAAATAGTAAATAGAATTTAATACGGTCTCATGCGCCCTGAAGGAGGTGGTGCCCGATTTGGAGGGGTAATGGCTATGTCCAAATAATCTCCTATTTGGAACTTTTGTGACTGCAGGGTCATGGAATCATCAGTTCCCTTTCTGCCGGACATGGTGCTGCCAATCTCCTTAACTCTGTAAGAAAGGACATCAAATGTTAATGGACCACATGAAAGTTAGTATGTACTACAAGGTGAATGTAGGACTTGGTTTGCTCCAGCATCTTATAATACAGTTCAAAAATTTAAGTATTATATTACACTAAACCTGATATTAAGATTATACAATCCCACATTTCTCCTACTGAAGAGATTAATTAAAAGGGTTATCCCTGTCATTTGTAACATACCAAAAACAAGAGATTAGCTATCAAAAATGAGAAGTTACCTACCGATAGCCAGGTCTTTTAAGGTCTGTAAAAACAATTGCAAAATTGAAGTGTGTGCCCTTCTTTCTCGCTTCTGGGTAGACTTCTTTTACTAAACTAGTCAATTCTTTCAAGGTTGCATCCATCCTAAATTAAAAAAAAAAAAAAGGATACTTAATTTGGTTAATTAGCAATAATATAACAAGGACATTGATGCATGAGTTATAATACAACAAGGATACTGACACATGAGTTAATCACATGTGCTTAAGTTGTGACTTAGGTTAGAAAATGCCAAGATCTTTAATTTTAAACAGCTAAAAATACTATTTGCCTCCAAATTTCCCTTGTACCAGTCTCACTATTAGAAATTTTGATGAATTAAAGATGGAGTTTTAATGCTAAAAGGGACTTCAGATATTCTACATGCTATCTTGTTGCTATGCAACATTTTATATAGCTCAGTGTCAGTAATTTACCTAATAACTAATCCAAATTAATTTTTTAAATAATCATATTTCATTATTTCTAAGACATATACTCCACATTTTAGCATCCTAAAATCAAAGTGCTAGAAAAGTATTTTTGTAAAGCTATGCGGTGTTTTTCTTATTGTAGAATCCATTGAGTTTTATAATAGATGAAGTCCTACAGCCAATGAAATTATCTCAAGATGAAGCACAGGGCTCCTTTCACAATGTACTTTGCAAATATGAACTCAGAACTTTTTATAGTCCTGTAATATTGCAAAATCTAGAAAAATCTTCTTAAAAGATAAACATCTTAGAATAATCAGGATCAGCAGATGGTATAATGTTTATTGGTGGACTCCCATGTAGCTGACTGCCGTTTGAGTCACAGACCTAGTGGCTTGAAACTCATGTTGGATCCATGTGCATGTGTGCCCAAAATCCCAAGAGAAGAATGGAGAAGGGATTGTAGCGTGACCATCTCCCCTGAAGGCTGACTTTTCTCTCTCTGGTGAGTGCAGTGCCCTATAGCAAAAATCTCTCTTAAAAAAAAAAAAAAAAAAAGGTAGGGACCAGCAGATGGCATAATGGTTACATCGCTGGACTCCCATGTAGCTGACTGCCGTTTGAGTCCCGGACACAGTGGCTTAAACTCACACCAGGTGTGCATTTGTGTCCAAGGTCCCGAGAGCAGAAGGGAGAAGAAATTTCAGTGTGGCCAAGCATCCTGGGGGTGGGGGTTGGGGGGTGATTTCTCACTTTGTTTCTCAGTCTCTCTGAGCTCAGGTACTCTATAGCAAAAAATCTCACTCACTCTCTCTCAAAAGAAAAAAAAAGAACCAAACAAAAAAGAACTAATAACCTAGTATAGATTTTTATATTGCTTTCTTCCATGACAACTAAGAAAATGAAATGGATGGTTTGGAACCTGAAACAGAACTGCCTATAGTGCTAGAAAATTACACAAGGGGGCCAGCAGGTGGTGTGGTGGCTAAGGGCCCTGGACTCCAATATCAACTGTAGTTCAAGCCCTGAGCCTGGCAGCTTCCTTTCTCATTTCCCCTTCTCTCCCTCCCTCCCTCATCAAATTAAAATAAATAGAAAGTTAAGTAAAATAATTCTTAAAAGAAAAAAAAAATCACACAAGAATTCTAGGACACTTGTGAACAGAACTCTTAACAACAGCATTAAGAGAGAATCATGCTCATTTAGTTTAAGCTCTGTGTTCATTTACAAATCACACCATACTCGGACCAATGGCTTCAGCTACACCAAGAATAGAAATATACAGAATGACCTACCCTCTCCCATTTTCTACTGCTACCAACTCTTTCTCAATATTCCCATACCAAAACTCAACAGTACTCTCCCCAAAACATGACCGACCTTCCTCTTCTCATATTCCTATTAAAAACTACCACCACCCACTTAGTTATCCAGGTCATAACCTTAAACACTGTTTAATTCTTCCCATCTTCATCCTGTTAGTCCCACCTCTGAAATACAGATTAACTCTTATTTTTTCCTGTCCCTATAAAAAACAGACAAAATAATTGCATTTCACATTTGTAAGTCATGTACTCTTCTATTGATGCATTATTGTTATTATTTTTATCTCTAATGCCAGAGGGCACCTGCGAGAGAGAATGAAGGAAAAAAAGAGAAAGCATCCACCAACAGCACCTGGTCATGCTGCAATCCTTTTTCTTCTGCTTTTCCCCACTGTCTGACTCTTGGACACATTCACATGCTTGTTTTTCAAGCCATGAGGGCAGGGCCTCAAACCGTAGTCAGTCAAGTGAGATTTCACTTCCTCTGCATGCTTAATCACTGCACAATAGAGCTAGCCCCCCTATTTTATTTTAACCCCTCAATAATTAACCTTCTGGGGACCAGCAGTTAGCATAATGGCTATGTCGCTAGACTCCCACGTAGTCGACCGTAATTCGTGTCCCAGACCTGGTGGCTTAAAACTCACGCCAGGTGCGTGTGCATGCGTGCCCAAGATCACAAGAGGAAAATGGAGGAGAAGGGATTGCGGTGTGGCCATCCCCCTTGGGGGGTGATTTCTCACTTTTTGTTTGTCTGTCTGGTGAGCACACATGCCCTATAGCGAAACCTCTCAAAAAAAAAAAATTAACCCTCTGCATTGCCATCAAATCATGTTTTTAAATTTGTTTTTCTATAAATTTGTTTTTCTATAAAACTGCTATGTCCAAGCAAGTGACACCCATTTTCATCTCCAGGAAAGGAGTCTTACTGTGTAGAGGGCAGCACAGAGCATAACAATGCCTACCACCATGAGCAGCAGTCCTAGGATGTCAAGTCAAAACATAACCTACACGTGTCTAGTCACCAAGAAAGACAAAATCTACACTAGCACTGGCTGGATCAATGCTTTGCTTACCTAAGAGACAGAGTAAAATTACATTCAGGGCCCAACTGCTGGTGTAGTGGTTAAGGTGCTAGACTCCCACATGGTAGACCAAGGTCTGAATCCTGGACCCAGTAGCTTGACACACCAAGCATATATATGTGTGTGTGCCCAAATTCCCAAGAGGAGAATGGAGAAGGGACTGTGGCATGGCCATGCCATCCCCCCTTTGGAGGTGATTTCTTGCTTCCTCCCTCCCTCTCTCCTCACAGCACATACTGGTTGTAGCAAAAAATCTCTTAAAAAAAAATTACATTTAATAGTGAGCACATGCTCCCCAGCACAGAGAGATGGTCTACACACAACCCCTTCTCACTGAGAACAGATACGAAATAGGACTGGTCAGGTGCCATGACACACTTAAGCCTAGAACAGGGAAAGATAATCCCCCCAAAAAGAGATGTACCCCCGAATAAGCTGTGCAGCCTATCTGTTTGCAAAATGTTCCAGATCCAAATCATGCAGCCATTCAAGAGGCAAGAAGCTGTGTGTGACTGCCTTTCCCAACTTGGCACATGCTCATTAAAGGGGAAAGGATGGAAGGATGAAATAAATTATATGCCAAATCTCACCAATCAGAATTTCTCTTTCTCCTTTTTTTAATTTTTATTATAAGATGCGTGTGCTCACGGGAGAGACAGAGACAGAAAGTGAGAAATCACCATTGGGGGAAAGGGGAGTAGCCATACCGCAATCCCTTCCTCTTGGGATTTTGGGCAGGTACGTACACAAACACGCCCGGCATGAGTTTAAGTTGCTGGGTCTGGGACTCGAATCGTGGTCAACTATAAGTGAGTCCAGCAACGTAACCATTACACCATCCACTGATTCAAAATCACACATCTATTTAGGAATGGAAAATTGTTCAGCTGCTGTGAAAACGGCAATTACTCAAAAAAATTCAACATAAAATTACCATATGACCCAGTAATCCACTCCCAGGTATATACACAAAAGAGAACAAAATCACATACTTCTACCAACATTCACAGCATCACAACAGCAAAGACAGCTCAAGTCTCCATCGACAGATAGCAGATAAACAAAATGTGGAATATACAGCTGGGGGAATATTATGCAGCCTTGAAAAGGAAAATTCTTATATATGTTACAACATAGACCAAACCTGGAAACAGGCCAGTCACGTAATGGCAAATATTGTAATGAGTCCACTTGTATAAAATATCCAAATTAAACAAATTCTAATATAAAGTAGATTAAAGGCTACCAGGGGCCAAAGAAGGGAGTAATGGAAAGTTACTACTGAATGGGTATAGCATCCCTATTGGAGGAAGGGAGAATGAAAAAAATCTAGTAATAGCAGCAGCACAATGTGTTACTGTACACTTATGGCTAAAATAGCAAATATATGTATTTTACGATAAAAAGTTTTTTTAACTACACATCTTTTACTGCTACTAAAAATGTCATCATGGGGACCAGCAGAGAGTATAGTGGTTATGTCGCTGGACTAGCACATACTGGAGAGTCTTCTGGCTTAAAACTGACGCCAGGCTGTTTGTGCCCAAAATCTGGAGAGAAGGATGGAGATGGGATTGAGGCCATCCCTAACAGGGTGATTTCTCTTTTTTCTCTCCAGCGAGTACCCTCGTCCTATAGCAAAAATCTCTATTTAAAAAAAAAAAATCCATTGTGGTGCTAAACTAAGAAATTACATGCATTATTAAAGACAAGCAAATTTGCTGTATGCAGTGGTTCTAGTTAAATTTGATGTTAGGAGAGGTAACTAAAGATAAACATTCAGGAGCCTGTCTTAAGTAAATACACCCTAAAATCTTTTCCATTAATCTCTAAAGCAGGAATCACTTGGATTTTGATGATTTGTTTTTTCTTTTTGGTATCATGGACCTAAGGCTTAACACTAAGAAATACTCAAGAGCACCACTGCCGCTTACCATTGTGATCCTACTAGCACTTATTTGACTTTGCTTCCCTTAAGAGTAGTTGCAGCATTTTAAATATCTGCACATCACATTTGTACCAGGCAACCATAACAATGATAGCAATCTTGGCTCTGTCAATTCGTAACAAGTTAAAAATTTCAGCATTAATCATAAAAGCGTAACGTGATGAGCAAATCCCCTTTCACCAAAAATCTAATTCTGAGAGTGCGCCCAAAGGCCCCACGTAGAAGCGATAAATGAAAGAGAGGGTAACTCTTCGCTAGCAAAGGCAATTACGGATGTTGCAGGTCCGGGACGGTACGTTTCCGCGGGAAAACTCATCCATTCGGTGGTGGCGACCGTTGTTAGTGGTGAACACCCGCAGCAAGAGAGGGCATGTCTACAGGAAGAGGGGGAAGAGAAGGGCAGAAGTTAAAAGACTGCAGCTGCAAGCCGGAAACTCCTTTCACTTCCAGAGAAGTCGCGGCCTCCGACTCACACTGGGAGCACAAACATCGCCTCTCCGGCAACAGGCCGCGCCTCTTAGCCCCGCCAGGCCCACACCACCTCTTCACGGATCCAGGAGCATCCTCACCTTCTCGCGGTCTATCGGCTTTTCCGGCTCCTTCTTAATTTCCTCCTGGGTAACGCGCGACTCCACCGCCATCTTTCTCCTATGGCCCGCGAGACGCTCGCCCTGACCTCCGACCCCTGCAGTGAGCATGAGCACAAAGTCTCTCCCGAACAGCCTGAGGGTTTATAGAGGAATGGGGGCGGGGCGTCGCTCTGCGCAGGCGCACTTCATTGTTTGGCGCGTGAGCGCTTGCTTCGTGCGCCTGCGCGTTGCATCCTCGAGGGCAAAAGGCGGGCGCCGGCGTCCGTGTGGCGGAAGCTTTAAGGAGAACGTGCGTCGTCCGTTGCTGTTAGGTGGTGAGGTGTTTTTTGTTTTTTTTTTTTAGCTTAAATGTTCAAATAAGACTAGACTGGTGTTTTCCCATGTAATGATAAAGACACAGTTCGCGTAAGGACATTACAAGCACTGAACAAAAAAATTTTTAGGGAAACATCAGTCTCTTCTTTATTGTGAGGAATTGCAACCCAGTTGTAAAGACTGCGGAGTTTTTGACACTACGAATCAGAGGGGAAAAACAAGGCCTGTACTGAAAGTTGTGAAACAAAACTGTGTGGAGGAAGAAAATGAATTTGGACTCTTCACACCCCATGCACACAATTCAGAACAGCAAAACTAGAACTTTTTAGAAATAACATACTAGGTATCTTCATGACCTGTGATTAGGAATATATGTTATAATAAGCGCTAACCAGAGAAGATTGATATATTTGACTAGATGAGAATTGAAAAAAAATCTGTCAGAATACATCATAGAAAAAAATAAAAGCTACAGAGTGGAGATTTATTTGTGATGCAGATTGACAAAAGCTAGTATCCCGAATATAAAAGAACTATCAAAAAAGATAACGCAATTAAAAATGGATAAGATAACTGAAAAAAGGTGCTTAAAAAGTGAAGAGATTCAGGTAGCTCATAATATAAGGTGCTTGAACTCATAATCAGGAAGTGCTTTAAAACCACAGTGATTGGTTTAAATTGATTGGTTTTAGACTAACTACACCCACTACATTGACAAAAGAAACTGACAGTAGAACTGCTGGTAGACTACTGGGAATTCTTAAACTTCTGGTGAAAGTGTTAACTGATATACCCACTTTGAAAAGCGATTTAGTATAATTTGGTACAATTGAAGATAGACGAGGTTGAGGATAGAAGAAAGCTTCAAAAAGTTCACAGAAGTGCATATTATGAAAAAATAATGCATTTCCATGTTTTATACCAAGATAAACTTGTACTTTAATGCCATTTGCCAACAGACTTTTTTAAAGTCTCCTGCTTTATTTAAATCTTAAATTCCAGTCCTAGAGAAAATCATGCTCAAGTGTATTCAGAGAATATTCAAGGATATTCAGTAAGCAAGAATATTCTTAGCAGTATTGTTCAAAAGAACAGAATCTTAAAAGAGCCCGAATGTCCATAAACTAAATAAATAGTTCAGTGAATCGTAGTACACTATACAGCAATAAACTTAACAATGGAATACTATAAAACAACAGAAATTTCCAAACTATAGCTACATGAAACCATGGCTGCATGAAAAACACGAATCTTGCAAACAATGATGAGAATAAGAAGCCAAAGACAAGACCATGCAAATCCATTTTTATAACATGCAGAAGTAGGCAGCACTCAAACTTCAGTATCATTCCCAGGTGATAAAACTATAAAGAAAAGCAACAAGGGAATTATAATTACCACAGAAATCAAAATGATAATTACCTCGAATAAAGGAGGAGGTTGTGATAAGGGATGGGCAGGTGGAGTGTTGGCAACTTTGGGTTTTTTAATTTTGTTTTAACCTAAGTGGTGGTTGTATATTTACTTGAATTAAAACTGCTCTTTAGGCCAGCCCTGGTGGCACAGCAGAAATAGAATTCTCCAGATGTTGAGGCCATATGGAAGTTCCTGGGTTTGTGTCTAGATAGCTTTCTATGCATGCTAGATGTATGCCTATGGTCCTTACTGACCAAGGGTAGATTGTGGTGTTAGCACTCTGTTGGGTGTATCTCTTTCTTTCTCTTTCTTTCCCTTTCTCGTGGGAGAAATAAATAATTTTTTTAAAAAAATACTCTTTCAAGAGTATATTTATAGGGAACCAGCAGTTGGCGTAATGGCTATGTCGCTGGACTCCACATAGTCGGCCGTGGTTCGCATCCCAGACCCGATAGCTTAAAACTCACGCCAGACACCTGTGCGTGCATGCCCAAGATCCCAAGAGGAGAATGGAGGAGAGGGGATTGTGGCGTGACCATCCCCTCTGGGGGGTGATTTCTCGCTTTCTGTCCCTATGTCTCTCTCTGTCTGGCGAGCGCACGCGCCCTAAAGGAAGCGCCCCCGCCCTAAAGGAAAACCCCTCAAAAAAAAAAAAAAAAGAGTATATTTATGGGGGCCAGCAGGTGGTGTGGGGTTTAAAGCGCTGAACACTCCCGCATGGCCAACCACAGTTCAAGTCCCAGACCTGGTGGCTTCCTTTCTCACTCCCCCCCAACACTCCCTGTGTCTCTCTCTGGTCAAATTAAAATAAATAAATGAATAAATAATTAAATAATTAAATAATTATTTTAAAATAAAAGAGTGTATTTATGTTTTGTGCACCCTCTTAGAAAAAAAAGTAAGGGCCTCCCAAAGAAAAAAGAATGCCTATAATTTGATAGACCAAAAAAAAAGACTGTTCAATAGACAGATGAATAAAAGGCATTGAAAGGCATTTCATAGAATATTACTTAACATGTAAATATATGAAAAGATGCCCAACCTCATTAATAGTCATGGAAGTACAAACTTAAGGGACCAGCAGTTGGTGTAATGGCTATGTCACTGGACTCCGTAGTCAACCATGGTTCAAACCCTGGACCCAGTGGCTTAAACTCATGCCAGGCACATGTATGCGTGCCCACAATCCCAAGAGGAGAATGGAATAGAAGGGATTGTGGCATGGCCATCCCCCCCTAGGGAGTGATTTCTTGCTTTCTGTCTCTCTGTCTCTCTCTGTGTGTCTGGCAAGCACACAGGCCCTATAGCAAAAACCTCTCCAAAAAAAAAGAAAAGAAGTACAAATTTAAACCACTAAGTTAACATTTTGTACTAGGCTGCCCACATTGTAAATATGACAACCAAATGCTGGCAAGGATATGGAGTAAAGGAAATGTTTACAGACTGTTTTCATCTGCTTTGGAAAACTGATTGGCATTACCTAAAAAGGTTGGATGTGTGACTACCTTAACACTGGGTTCTTGTACTCCTCTTGTATACCCAGAAAACCTGCAGGACAAGAGCACAAGGTAACATTTTGAATAATGCTCTGACATCTTTATTCATGATAACCGAAAACAATCCAACTCTCAAGAGTGTATTCATAAAATGGAATACCATAAAGACTTGAAAATAAGTGAATGAATCAATATCAAGAACTTTTTCTTTTTTTTTTATGAGTGAGGAAGAGAGAACCTTGATGCTGTGATCTATCCCCAACTTTCAGCCAGCCCCAAATCATGGGCAGATATGTACCTGTTACAGTCAGGGAGGTCTCCTGACTTGAACCAGGAAGCTTCCCATGTGGGATTGCTTTGTGGAACATCTTGTTTAACAACTACATCAACATCCAGCCCCATCAATGTACTTGTTTAAAAGGTAAATAAAAGGAGTCACAGAAAGGTATATACAGTAGGTTTCAATTTATGCAAAGCTCAAAAATAGGGAAAAACATATTTTTTAGCGAAACAAAAACAAGTGGTAGAAGAATAAAGAGAAGGCAGGGGCCTGGGCTGACCCATAGCATAGCAGTTAGACACTGTAAATAGGTATCCAGAGCCCACATGACTGACTAGTTGAAATCCAGGCATGAAAACTGGAAAAACACTGGGTGTGTTTGTGTATGTGCCCAAGGTCCTGACAGAATGGAGAAATAGTAGTAAAAGATTTGTGGCATGACTCCACCCCATTGGAGGGTTCTTCTCTCTCCCTCTCTTTTCCCACTGCATGTGCCCTCTGACAATAAAAAGAAAAAAAAAAAAATAAGTGGATGATTAACATAAAATTCGGGTTACTGTTATCTCTGAGGTTAAGTATGAGTAACGCTATTTACAAAGGCATCCAAGATATGAGGTATGTACTCTGTAACTAGGAGCAGAGTGGTATTTTATTTTTTGTAGCTAAAAATTGTACATTCTAGTCACTTTTATTTTGGTCACTATTTTAAAATTTGTTTTTAGAGCCAGCAGGTGGCATGGAAGTTAAGGCACTGGACCGCCACAAAGCCAACTACAGTTCAAGTGCTAGACCTGGCAGCTTCAAAATCACTCTGGGTCTGTGTGCACACACACCCAAAATCCTGAGAGAATAATGGAGAAGAGGAGATTGTGGCATAGCCATCTTCCCTGGATGGTGATTTCTCACTCCCTGTTCTGTATCTCTCTTTCTCCAACAAATGCATGTGCCCTGTGGCAAAAACTTAAAAAAAAAAAAAAAAAAAGGTTTTTAAGTTGCTTAGGATAGGATTTGACATGCAGGCAATGTTCAGTCTTTTAAAAAAAGATATTTAAATTCTCCAGTTCTGTGATTCTAATTGTTACATCTTTTTTCAAGACCTCGTAGTATAAAAATGCAGACACATGAGGGCACTCTAATCAATTAAAGGGAAAATATTGAAACTAAGAAAATGAAGAACCTTGCTACCTTTTATTGGTAAAACTGAGGATGTTTACTTTCTTGGATAGAAATTCTCAGTTTGGGATCTTTCCAAATAACTGGCTCTCATCAAAATAGAATTTCCCATTATAAATCTTGAGGCAGAAGAACTGCAGCTATATTTCAGAATAGTTAGGATAGCTTTCAGTATCCTTTGGTGTACTTAGTTTGCCCTGTAGGACCATCTCTGAACATGAATTGTACTACTTGTTTGTAGTTTTTCTTTTTTCTTTACAATTTCACAGACAAGTAGTACACTTCTACATGCGTACCCAAAAAAGATTAAAGCGGGGCTCAAGCAGGTACTTCTATGCCACTGTTTATAGCAGTAGTATCACAATTGCCAAAATGTAGAAACAGTGTATTTAAATGTTCATCAAAACATAAAAAGAGGGACCAACAGTTACCATAATGGCTGTGTCGCTGAACTCCCATG